GATTATCAGTGCCTAAATAACTATTGCATGAATCTAAAAGAGATTTATACATGAAGCCGAACGTCGACGAGCCTATGAAACAATTGAGTCTCGAATCCCAAGTGAACGGCCAGAAGAGAAATGTTTTCATCTGAGAACATACAGCAATGTGAAAACTTTTGCCACCACCTTGAATCATCTTCATTCACTTTTGGCAACTGAGCACAGTTTCTGAGATTTAGTGTGACCGCAGTGCCCCACATAACCGCTGTTTCCAACTATCTAGAAAGTTCGGCTTCAAAGAAATGTGACTCAACCGTAGGTTAAGCTCGATAGCACCTGAAATTGAATGAGATAGTCAAACTAACGACGTCCAGTACAGTGTTGTTAGCTGCGAATGATGGGGCGTGCCGAGAGAGATGGGTTTGGCGTGGCGCCAAACCCGTTTCCCACCAGCTGTTGAAGAGAGCGAACGACAAAATGCAACATAGCGTTCGTATCAGCCGTTTTACACCAAATATTGTCGCTTGGTCGCTTCAGTAAGTGGTGGGGAACGAGCTGTAGCGTGCCCAACCTAGCCTTACTGACACTCCATAATCCGCAGCGTCGACTGGGCACCCGTGATGATTACTATCTATAGAAAATGTTCACTTACTTGTTATCTTGGTAACCCATTAACATTTGGCGGCAAATTCTTGTAAATGGCAAATAAATTACCATTCAAACGTTCGATTTCTTCGAAGCGTCGTTCTCTCATCAGAGATCGCCCCGATTCCAAAATCATAGCAACTACCTGAAAAAGAGTCCAGTTCATGGAAGAGAGATAAATGCTTCAAAACTTACCCTTTCCAAAACGTGGAAAGTCTCTTTGGCCCGATCTTCCGAATCTTCATCTTTGACCACTTTCATAAACAGAACACTTTGATCAGATTCTTCATGAGATGTTTGAGGTGAGTCGCTGAGGGTTACCGGCTCATGAGCTAAAGTACAAGGGATAGGTTATGGGACCATTTTTCATCCAATGCAATGTTCACCTTCAAACAGTGGCTCTTCCTTTGGTTTTATTACATTCATCCATCTATCTCCCAACAGATGAGTCGACGCCTAGTAGAGGTATAGTAAAATAACAAAGCCCTAAATTGATTAGTCACTCACTGCTTTTTCAGGGACAACCCCTGCAATCGACGCCTCCACAAACTCATCATTTTCCTTGAGAATTGATGAGAAAGAGTTTACCGGATGGCCGTAGTGGCTGAAGCAAGCCACGGCCTGAACAGTAGCATCGGGACGAACAGACACCTGAAGTGTTTGCAAATATACAGGCATATAACAGCTAGGCCGTGTTCATACTTTGTAAGTTGAGATGATCCGGCGATTTGAGAGCGCGACGAGGGAAATATAGATATCTATCTGGCGACTGCGGATGTTGAGCGATTCGGCGATTGTGCGCCATATGACTGGATGGGAACCT